GGACACTCTGTCTGGACTGTTGCGGTTTCACAGATTTGTCATCTGGGAATTGGGGGGCAGGTTGAGAAAGAAATCAAGATTGCCTCTCGTTATAGTCTCTGAGGAGTGTTTGAAGTGTCCATTGAGGAGTGATTTATTAGGAGGACAACAGGCAGCTCTCTAGAGCCAGAGGTTCTTTGATCCATTTAAAATCTGGTGAAGCCTAACAGAACAAATGCAGATTAAGTAAATTTTTTGTCTTTTTTCCACCATTTATTAATAGGAATAGTAGAAGGAGAAACAACAAGAAATTTTTAGACTCACAAATTTGTTGTGAGATGCTAAATTTCTGTGCCTTGTCTTCTTGCATCACGAGGCTGGAATTGTTTATGCCAGATCTGATTATTTTTCTAAGATAATACACAATAATCAAAACAAACCGAGACAATTGTTTAATTCCATTAACAAATTGTTGAATTGTAATAGTCTTTCGCCTGTTATTGCGTCAACCCATCTTTGTAACAAGTTTCTTGATTTTTTTTTTGGCACTAAGATTGATAATGTACAAAACTGTGTCTGTACCTCTACCCTATTGTGCTCTTCTTCTGTAAATACTCCTTTCTATAATGATATTACTTTTTCAAATTTTTGCACACTTGTCTCATATTCCCTTCAAAAGGAGGTTTCTCAATTGAAAGCAGCCACTTACTTACTTGATCCCATACCCACTAGTTTGTTTCAATCATGTTTTGGTTCTTTGTGTCCTGTTGTCTTGAGTATTATAAATGATTATTTGTGTACTGGTGTTGTGCCAGCAGCCTTTAAAATAGCTGCTGTTACCCCTGTACCAAAAAAGACAAACATTGATTATGAAAAACAAACAATTTTCGTCCCATTTCCAATCTCCCATTTCTTGCCAAAATTTTTGAGCGAGTTGTTGCTACTCATTTAATAAGTCATTTAACTGAAAACAATCTATTTGAGCCTTTGCAGTCTGGCTTCCGTAAATTCCATAGTGTTGAAACAGCATTGGTTAAGGTCACAAATGATCTGCTAATTGCCTCAGATTATGGCTGTCTTTTAAATTCTGATCCTTCTTGATCTCAGTGCCGCTTTTGACACTGTAGATCATTCTCTTTTAATTACTCATTTAGAAACTGTTTTTGGGGTCTCCGATACTGTACTAAAGTGGTTTAGGTCCTACCTCACAGACCGTAAGCTGTTTGTTACAATGGGTGGATTTAGGTCAGAGGTTGGTGTTGTGAAATCTGGAGTCCCTCAAGGATAAATTTTGGGCCCCTTGCTTTTTAATATCTACATTTTCCCACTTGGTCAACTTTTAAGATCTCTTGGTCTAAAATTTCATTTCTATGCAGATGACACTCAAATCTACATACATTCAAAACCTGATGATACTGTGCCTGTGGATTTTTTTCTCAATGTATTTCTAAGATTAAGGAATGGATGTCGCAAAATTTTCTTTGTCTCAACAGTGAAAAGACTGAGATTGTTCATTGGTTCACCCCACCAGTTGCGTAAAGCTGGAATTGAGCCTCATGCTCTGAATACTGTTAAAACATCTTTCTTTCATCTTAGATATATCGCCAGATTACGTCCATTGTTGTCTTTCCCTGTTGCTGAGAAGTTGATTAACACCTTTGTTTTCTCTCGAATTGACTATTGAAATGCTCTGTTGGCCGGGGTATCAAAAGCTACCCTAAACAAATTACAGGTTGTGCAAAACTCTGCTGCCAGAATCTTAACTAAAACAAGGTTAAGGGATCATGTCACTCCTATCTTGGAGTCTTTGCATTGGCTTCCTGTTAGGTTTAGGGTTGATTTTAAGATTTTGATGCTCACTTACAAGGCTCTGCATGGTTTGACACCGCAATATCTGTCAGAGCTTTTAACTCCATATACCCCAAGGCGGAACCTTCGTTCTTCTGATACTGGATTGTTAATTGTTCCATCTACCCGCCGAAGATCGATGGGGGATAGGGCTTTTTCCTCTCTAGCTTCTCTAGGATTTTAGTGCTTTGCTGTGTGTTCTGGGTTTTTAAAATGGCATTTCTATGCACTTATTGGGTGTTCTGAATGGATTTTATTGCGTTGTTATATTGTTTCTGCCTGCTAGAGCATTGCTATATAGTTACTGGGGTGTTCTGTTTGTTTTTCAGTGCATTTCTATGTGATTGCTAGGGTGTCCTGGATGTGGGGTGATATAATTTATTTATTTACACATTTATTAATTATCACTTTTATATATTTATTTTTATTCTTTTGAGAAACCAAACTATGAGAAATAGTAATAGTGTTAAAAATATTAATGCATATGAAGCTGGTGAAGTTGCACTGGTGGATTAGCCATTTATTTTACAAACCAATTGATTAGTCAAACTAAATCCATCATCTCCAGTCTAAGAAGATTATGTTGATGATATAACAGTCTTCAGGGTTTGCTTTAACCACTTTAACTGCATAACGACAATCAATATCCGTTCCTGTAATTACATTGCTTGGGTTTTGATCTCAGGCTTGTTTTATTGCATGCACTTAAATGGTTATTTCAGTCTGGTGACTCTGATCAGCACTTGATTCATTTTTCCGTTGGTTTTATTAGATTATATTTCTGTCACCAGCAGTTTATTGCTTGTATTCCCAGGCTTCAGACATTTCTTTTTTGTTGTTGTTGTTGGCACGTCAACTGCTACATCCTATTTCGGTTCGTTCACGCTGTCGTAAACCACTTTGTACCCTGAACTCTGAAACGGTTTGCTCGACTGCCATAAAAGTAATGAAAAAGTAATCACATCCAGGAAGCCTGTGATAATGACAGGTTTTTAAGTAATGGCTGACAGAGATGCAATTTCCCAGCCTGTTCCTCTCTAATTACCAGCACACTGCCCTTTTCACCGGCCCAGCTGTACCCCAGTTCTCCTGTCAGAGGGGGAGATGCAGGATGCAGTGAGGGAGGTCCTCTGAATTTGGCAACACAACTGGGTTGACAATGGGAATCTCCCTCTTGGCCCCTGAAGGCGTTACTTTCACATGACAGGGCCTTAATTAATCACTGTAATAATGATCTTTTGTGTCTAAAACGCTCAGTGCTCACTGATATCTTTGTTTTTCCATGTCTTTCAGTGGCTCGTTGTCTGAAACCCTCTTCACATTTGTGACAAACGGTAAGTACTTTTGTTTTATGGTTCAATGGTGATGTGAATTGAGCACACATATTGGCGTAGGATTAGTCCTATTATTTCCTGAACCATGTTGACATGATTAGTTTTTTCGCCACCTGCTGCCGCTGTGTGTTACGTTTTTGTTTGACTGGTATATTTGCATCTCTGCAAAAAAAGGAAGTAGCTTAATCACCTTGTGCCGGCCCAACAGGTTTTTTTTATTTTTTAAACCAGTTCGGATATGGGAAGCCCTGTTTGCTCTTTATCAAGGTGAATGGAAGGCGTGGGAATTTTTTTATCACCTGAGCTTGTTTTTCTCTGGCTGGCAGTCTGGCACAGACCGGTTGCGATTTACCTGTGCAGCTCTGCAGAACCTGATGAATCAAACTCTCACGCCGGTTGCCAAACGTGTACATGTGCCAACACTTGCTCCAAATGTTTACCTTCCACGGTTGTGCAAGCTGCTAAATTGAGAATGACTCACAAATTCATAAATTTGAGTCACAGTAGCAAACAATAAAGTTTGAGAAAATAAAAATACAATGGGATGAAATCAAGAAATATTTTTTTTCATAATAACGTTTTTGTATTTAATATAAAAATAGCCTTTTTCCAAAAGGTACATCTGGAAAAAGGGGGGTCGTCTTATAATCAGGGTCATCTTATATTTGGGCTAATACGGTACATATATATATATATATATATATATATATACATATATATATATATATATATATACATACATATATACATATACATAT